GGCAAGAGGAGGAGGGAGGCCATGGTGACAGCAGGTCTGAGCAGCTCATGAGAGCAGACTGGTAAAGCTGAGAGCCGAGACTCAGTGGACAGCACCGAGAACATCGGTGTCTTACTTAAACAAACTCGCACTCTAAAAGTCATGTTTGGGGTGGAGGTGCTCTTGAACCCATCACTGCTTGTTACTCTACGGCCTTGCACTGTGGTCTGTGCCCTGGAGGTCCTCAGCATCTGTCTGCTCTACCTGATGGATGAAGCTCCTCAGGCTATAGTGTCCCTGCTCGGTGAGAGCAGGTCATATTGCAGCTGGACGCTGGCTGTGCTGGGGATTCTTAGCCATCACATCTGCAGGTGTGACAGCACTCGGCTTCTTGCGGAGCACTGGGTGGTAGCCACCCAGCTGACATCCAGCTGTCCTGCTTAGGGGTGGGCAGCTGTTCTGAGCTAGAGAAGCCGGGAAGACAGTGGACCAGATTTCCCTGTGTAAAACCACAGCTACTTCCTTCAACTTGGTCTGGCCTCCTCTTTGCACTTGACTGACAATGCCAAGGCCATTAGAGAGGACAATGTGCTTCAAGAAGGCGACAGGGACGTGAAGACACAGGAAGACCACAGTCACCTAGCTAAGAGGCGGGACCAAACCTCTGCATCTATGATCAAGATGAGCTCAAGGGCCCAGTGCTCAGAGAACGTGCGGCTTAGATGGGTGCCAGTGGGGCCTGGCATGGGGGTGGCATGCTCACAAAAGACAGCCGAAGTGAATGAGAAGTGTTCCTGAAAGGCACCAAACAAGGCCGAGGCTCCAGTGACTCCCTCCCCCACTCATGGAGAGCGGGGCCTGCAGGAGAGCGGCTGGGTCAGAGGACCAGCGGCTTATCAATATCCAGCGAACCCCAGGGATTGTGGGCCCGGTTGCCAGCCTGGGGCACTAATGGAGGATGATGGGACTTTTAAGAGGTGGAAGGAAGTGAGATCATTGGAGGTGTGGCCTTGAAGGAGATGTTGGGGCTACTCCTCTTCCCTTTAGCTCCCAGGGGTGTTCCACTCCAAAACTGTGGAGCCAACTGACCACCACTGAAGCCTTTCAAGCCAAGAGCCAAAAGAAAACCTCCTCAATTTAAGAAGAAGGTTGGCTCACACAGGTGTGTGTCACAGTGACAGATAGCCAACTGACTTAAAGTTCCTTGTGCCTTGTGACCAGCAGGGACAGAGGCAGAGGGTTGGAGGGCAGAGCCCGATATGTGTGTGGATGGGCTTCATGCGCTCAACAGTTTTGAGAAAGCAAGGCCTGAAAATGCCCGAGGTCCCCTTGTGCAGCAACCTGTGGTCCTGAGATTCAGGGAGAATATGACACTAGCCACCAGGTATCCTACAGAAGCAGGGGATTTGGGAGACCAACCGCTCTTGAGTACCACCCACCCAGAAGAATCACCTCCGTCGTCAATGATTTTCTCCAGCACAGATGTGGCCAGGTGATCGGTGACAGCCAGGTCCTGGGGGTCCCCTGATGTGCATACCCAACGGAAGGGCCCAAAGCCCTGGGAGAATATGTCCCTGCAAGGACAAATGTCTCTTTAGCCACAACCTCCTGGGCTGCCTGCACCTTCTTGCTGAGCTGGGGAGTGGCATGTAGGCATGCCTAGGGGAGATGGGCAGCATCCAGAATGAGCTCAACACTGCCGGCCTCTAAGCAAAGAGTCTTAGAGGACTTCCTTGCTCCTCTGCCTCCGCCTTAGCCTCTGGTCTTATCTCCAAACTTGTACTTCTCCAGCGTCAGAAGCAGGGAAACGGGACACAGACAAACAGACGTTTTCTCAAACTACTCGTAGGAAGACTACATAAAAACCAGTCACCTAAGGTAAATAGTTGAGCAAAGTGGATAAATGTGTAGACTGGGCCTGGCCTTCCCTGGTGACTCAGCTTCCGCAGCAGTTCTGGGGCAGAGGGATGCTATAGCCTTGGGCCATGCTAGCTCCATACTTGCTAAGCACAGCTGAGTTTATCCCTGCTGCCTCTTTCCTGCTTCTCTTCCCTGGGGAAAATCCAGTCACTCTGGACTCCAGTGTCCCAGCCCACCCTTGGCTCTGCTCCCACCCACAGCAGTAAAGTTCAGAAGGCAACTTCTGCCTCTCTGGACTCCATCCAGAGATGTCTTACGCCCTTCTCTGTGCACACTGAGACCTGTGAGTCTAAAAGTCCAGACTCCCTGACTGGTCTACCTTGGCTCTGGTTCCTGCAGGGTCCCCCTACTTCCCCATTTCTCTTGGGGTGCTGGCCCTTCTCAGACTGGCCCTGAACAGCCGGATGGCACAAGGCCTTCAAGCCACAGTAGGTCCTGGTCTTCAGGATTGAATCATCATGCAAAGGACAGCTTCCTGGCCACATCATGTAGGAAAATGAGTGGGTACCTGGTGTGCCCAGGGAGTGACCTTGGCCACCAGGCTCCTTGGTTCCCTGTCCTCTCACTGAGGCCCTGCAGAAGCCACTTCTGCACTTGTGTGCTATGTGGAAATGCTGTGACCACTGCTTGGCTACTTCCCAGCTGGGTGAGGTCTCAGCACACAGCCCTGTGGTGGTCAGTGTTGGAGGTCCTAAGTCCTGAGGGGGGGCAGAAAAGGTACTAGACAGCCCAAAATGGAACCTCTGTCACTCACCCCATAATGTGCTGGACATAGGAGGGGTAGCGGAACTCCATCTTGTTGGCTCCTTTCTTCTCTACATCTGCTCCTGTGGAGTCGTCCATCTGTGTGAGCATCCATGGCCACGCAGACAGTGACTTAAACAAGGGGCACTGGGAAAGGCTGGGAACAGAGTCTCAAGATCTTTCCTTAGGCAAAATAAGCGGAGAAAAAGCAGAGTGCAGCCCTGGATGGTGCGCCGCCGTCTGTGTGGTCTAGGTGTAGGGTACAGACGAATGAGCCCACAGACTTGGTGTCAGCCCTAGAGGCACCGCCCACAGGACCTTGTCCCATTAGGTCCGCAAGTAGCCCTGCAAACGGCCATGGAAAAAGGCCTGGAAGGAGTCAATCTTTTGTGGACTCTGGGCCTTTTATATTTTTAAAATGTAAGGAGAAGTTGAGGTCCAGGGAGGCCCAGCTGCCTGGCAGGACCCCCTTCAAGAAGGGAAAACTGGGTAAAGGCACAGCGAGATCTCTTGGGTACTCACTGGGTGACCATGTGGCTGAGCGATGGGTATGAAATGGGGAGACAAGAGTTCACCCAGGTATGCTCACACAGGCCCCAGACACCACTTGGCCAGCCTCCCCCTCTGCCTACCTGCTCTCTGAGCCTCCAAGAGGAAGGCGTTACCGTAGTCCCAAAAGTAGAACTTCTCCTGGGCCAACCTGTTGATGGCTGAGACATGCCTCCTCAGGCTGTAACAAACAGGTGATCAGCCCCCGACCTGCCCTCCAGTTCCGCAGCCCCACCTCATCAAACTTCCCAAGGCCTTCTAAACCCAGGGCCAGAAAAGTCTCCTCTAGGACCAGCCTCCTTGAGCTCACTGTGACTCCTCCCAGAGCCACTAATTCCCATGTCTACTTAAAACCCTGAACCCTCAAAACCCCCTGTCTTGTAATGCCCCTCTAAACCAGAATTCCCCATCAGACCCTGAGGTCCAATGTGCTGTGGGTGTCCTAGCGTGTACCCAGCACAGACATGCAAGCTGCCTTTGATTTGGCAAATACCAATTCAGATTGTCCCATCATTCCCGAACGTACCGTGCCCACAATGCCCTCTGAAAGAAGGAAGCTGAGCCTCAGAAAGGTTAGGATCCTGCAGGCTCTGCTGCCCTGCCCTGCACCCACCTTTCCTGCACCAGGTTCTTGAAGGCAGCTGGGTTGGAGGCCATGAGGCTCTGGGCCTCTGAGAAGCTCAGCTGCACAGGGTAGTAGCCACCGTTGAACGGGTTGTGACAGGATGTCTGGTCCGACCCGAGATCCACTAAGAGCTCCCCCGTGGTGTCCAGTTCATGGACCAGGCGCTCCCTGGGGAAGGGGTGGGGTGGTCAGAACAGGGCAGGCAAGCATGGGTTGGGGAGAGCCAGCCTGCAGGAGCTGCAGCCCACATCTCCCCGGCCACACCTTGCAGGTAGTGGCTACGTTCTCCTTTGGGACATGCATGGACAGAAAGGCTGTGTGTCTGGGTGAGGAGGAGGACCTTCCCAGGAGTGACAGAGCTGAGGTTCAGAGCCTGTGGCTTGGAAGCCCTCGGTTAGCGCCGCTGACGTTCTCAAGCCACCGATTTCCACTTACCAAAGATCCACCACGTTGCCATGGTAGCCAAGGCTGAGCACCTCCTTCTTTTTCCTTGCTTCCCTAGAAGGACACAAGAAGAGCAGGTGACCCACACCTGTCCTCAGCTGCCCTGGATGTAGCTTCTGTGCCTATACACAGGGAGCTCAATGCTGGCCCAATGTGGCAGACGTAGGAGGTCACCTAGGCCTGTGTGTAAGTGTGGGCTTGTGTGAGGGAGTGGGACCATGTGGGAGTGGGTTTATGTGAGTGTGTGACTGATGGCGTGTGTGTGCGTGTGTGTGTGTGTGTGTGTGTGTGTGTGTGTGCGTGTGTGTGTGTGTGTGTGTGTGTGTGTGTGTGTGTGTATGGCCTGTGTGCAACCGTGGGCCTGCGTGTGAGTATGAGTCTGTGTAAGCATGGGCCTGCATGGGTCTGTGTGAGTGTGGACCTGAGTGAGTGTGGGCCTGGAGGCATGTGCTAGGGTGAGGTATGTTCTCTCATACCCCATGATACAAGAAAAGGAAAAACACATGCTGGGATGTCCCAGTTGGTTGAGCTGAGCTGCAGTAGTGACTGGAAAATGGGTGTCTCAACCCTAATAAGCTCTTCATAGAACTCACTTCTAGGGTAGGACATGGAAGTGGTAGGATTTGCTAATGATGATTCCAAAATTATTTGGAGACATAGAAATAGATAAGAGGATGAATATAATTAAGCCAGGCACGGTACACACATCTCAATTCCAGTATTTTGGAGGGGAATGTAGGAGGGTCTCAAGTTCAGAGCCCCATGGCTGCCCACAAGCCAGCAGCAATAATCCCTGGGAAATGGACTCTCTAGAGACCCCTCTCATGATGCTTCCCCAGTGAAACCTTTAGACGGCACCTGTGGCTGGACATCAGGCACTGAACAGCCCCAGCCACGCTTCCTCCCCTGCCTCCAGTGCCCAGGGTCAAGTGCTCTGAGTCCTGTGAGCCAACTGTACCTGAGTCTCAAAATGCAGTGGTCCAAGCTGTCAGTCACCTCCATCAGCCAGCCTTGCCGGTGGCGTTTTACAAGTGCAGCTTTGTCAACCTGAGGTCACAGGACACAGGCCATCCGTTACACATCACTCCTGAACAACCTCTTGAGAGGTGCCGCCCCATGCATCCCCAGTCCACTTTCATGATGCAGCCTCAGGGCAGCCACTACAGCCAATGGGAGCAAAGAAGGAGCTTCCGAGACAAGATTTTCCTACTGAGATAGTCAGCCAGACGGGACACGTCTCTTCGCCCTTCTTTCTGCTTTGCACGTGGATGGCATGACTGGCTGGCGCAGTGATTTTTATCTCCATGAGAGAGACCCAGCAGAATCTAGAGGAGCTAGCACTGACATCATTGAGCTGCTGAGCCCATACCAGCACTGTCAGTTACATGAAAGTTACATGAGAAAAATAAAACTCCTATTTACGTAAGCTGCTACAGACGCTCTGTTAACAGCAGCTCAGCACAGTTCTAGCAAAGCTCAGACATGCAAGACACAGGTAGGGCCAACTGAGCCCAATTACACAGTGTGTCCCCCAAGACTTAGCTCAAAGCTCCCTCCTTCCGCTGCCCCTGCTTCCCTCCTTGACCTTGGCATCTTCCGAACAGATGTGAGTCACTAGGGCAAGCCCCCTGTGCATACCTCCATGGAGGAGCGGCTTATCCGCCTCCTCCATCCATCCGATGTCAGCTGCTAAAGCTGGGGGAGGGGTGCTCTCTACTACTAACTCAATTCACAAGTATTTGTTCTCTGTCATCTAGGTCCCTCATCTGAAGGGCCGGGCCCCGGAAGCAATGGCTGTACGTTCGCCAGTACAGCTTCGTGGGCTGGAAGTTAGTGGGCACAGAACACGGAGCATGGTGGGCACTGTGCAAGCAGGACCCTGTGTTGCCACAGGGCCCCCCAGTGAGGCAGTACAAGGCTTTGTGGAGGAGGTGAGGGGTTCGGTAAAAGAAATCAAGAAGAGAGTGGGGTGTGGGGAGAGTGGAAGGGTGTGGAGGGCAGAGATGGACAGGATAGAAGGGGGGAGGGAGGAAAGCAAGCAAACAAGCAAGCAGAGGAGTGAATGAATGAATCAGGGAGTTTGGAGGGACAGGCGGGGGCTCCCCAGATTACCTCTGCGATCACTCCGATGCATCCAACGATGGCTGCAGCCTTGGCTTGAGCCCCACTCATCCCACCGAGCCCGGAGGTGACGAAGACCTTCCCTGCCAAGTCCTGGATGCCCAGGTACCGCCGACCGGCATTCAGCACAGTGAGCTGTAGGCAGGGGAGGCAGGGTGCTTATCGTCCACTCCTGGCAGATCCACCCACAGGGACCCACCACTCATCACGAGTGCCTGTCTCTCACCACTGTGCCGTGGACAATGCCCTGGGGACCAATGTAGCAGTAGCTGCCTGCTGTCATCTGGCCATACCTGAGCAGAGAAGGAAAGGGCAGTGCTTAGGGTCTTTAGATGAAACCTTGAACCACCCTCAAATGTTCTTCTACATTCTCCTTTGTTAGAACTAGAGATCCTTGTGTTGACCAGAATAAGCCAGAGTCAGAGTCAGGAAGACAAACAACATCGCATCTTTTCACTTATATGTAGTGTGTGTGTGTGTGTGTGTGTGTGTGTGTGTGTGTGTGTGTGTGTCGTGAAAGAAGAAGGGGGCTGCTTAGGGAAGAAAGGGGTCTGGCAAGAGGGGGGGACGGGCATCAGGGAATAGTCAGGAAGATGAATAAGAAGTCACTATAGCTGGGCGGTGGTGGTGCACACCTTTAATCCCAGGACTCGGGAGGCAGAGACAGGCGGATCTCTGTGAGTTCGAGGCCAGCCTGGTTTACAGAGCGAGATCCAGGAAAGGTGCAAAGCTGCACAGAGAAACCCTGTCTCAAAAAACCAAAACCAAACCAAACCAAAACAAACAAACAAAAAAAAGAAGTCACTATAAAGGGGCTGGAGAGAAATCTCAGTGGTTGGGAGCACTGGCTGTTCTTGCAGAAGACCCAGGTTTGGTTCCCAGCACCCACATGGCAGTTCACAGTTATCCATAGTTCCAGTTTTGGGGGATTTAACACTCTCTTCTTGCCTCCCTGGACACTGCATTCATGTGGTGCACAGACAACCACACAGGCAAAACACTCATACACATAAAATAAAAATAAAACTTAAGAAAATTACATACACAATACATATTTATATGTGTATAAAAATGTCATAGTGAAACCTATGTCACTGTGTTCTAACCAGAATATTTAACAAGTTAAAGTAAGAATAAAAAGCTAAGGATATAATAAACTAGAGCTTCCTGTGCCCTCCTGCCTCCTGGTATTTTACAAACAGATTTTATTTCTGTAAAATCTGTTATACAATTAATTTTTAAAAATCATCATGGGGATGATTGGGCTCGGCAGAGCAAGACTGAACATGGGCCAGCATGCCCATGCCACATGCTAGTGTCTGCTCAGCCACTCACAAAGACATTCACGGCAAATTTGTCAACAGTGGCCAATATCTGAAGCCATTGAAATGTCCACACATGGAGGAAAGAGACAAATGAACTATGATGTAAGAACAGCGTGAGAAAAAAGGATAGGATGTGTTTCTGCCACACACACCCCAGGGAAGGCGTGAGTTGGGGCGTGAGAAAGCATGTTCTGCAAGATTCCATCCAGGTGACATCCAGTAGGCTTAACTGTGAGGCATCTTCCTACTGCAGCTGAACCCTGGGTGTGGCGCTGGACACACGGCAAGGTGGTAGCAGCGAACACATGTCTGTGAGAATCCTTGTGTGGTGCACACCAGATCCACAGCTGCCATGCTGAGAGATGCCTGCTGTTGAATTACGTGAGTATGGGGCTCTATTCCGAAGGTGTTGTTTTTGTAGCTTGCCCCCCACAGCCTGCCCTCGGGTCTTTTCCAGATCAGCACAGGCCATGGCTTCACGGCAGATGACATTCAAAGGAATGGTTCTCTCCACCCTTCCGGGAAGCCTGTCGGCTCTGATTTTCTATGTGAGTGCAGTGATGTGGCCTCCTATCTGCTCCCTCCACCGGAGGACTCTGTCCACAGAGCAGAAAGCAGGCAGGAAGGCTGCGAGGTCATCTAATATTAATAGATACTGTCAAATTTCCAGTGATGTCACCGGGCGGCAGTGGTGCACGCCTTTAATCCCAGCACTTGGGAGGCAAAGCCAGGCGGATCTCTGTGAGTTCGAGGCCAGCCTAGTCTACAGAGAGAGGTCCAGGACAGGCACCAAAACTACACAGAGAAACCCTGTCTCAAAAAACCAAAAAAAAAAAAAAAAAAAAAAAAAAAATTCCAGTGATGTCATCAGTACTGCCTGAGTGCGGCCATTGCTGTCGCTGGATAATTAGCAAACAATTTTGGGCAGTGTAATGGGGACAGTAGCATCTGCTGCTAGCTTAATTGCACTCTTTGCTGGAGACTAGGAGACTCTCAAGGTCCCTCTGCTGCATGTTTCTCAACGCCAGGGTCATCATCTCTTCTCTTAGATCCCTGCCTCTCAGTGGCTTTCCCCATCCCCTTCTCTCCTCTGGCTGGAGGTGTGTTGTCACAGGCCTGTGAGTGAATATCAAGTCTTCCACACAACCACACAATACACCTGACCACCCAGAACCTCTGTTTTCTCTTCTAAAAATGGAGATATGCAGGCATGGTACACACTTATCATCTCAGCACTCAGATGAAGCAGAAAGATCATGGATTCCAGCAAGACCCTGTCTCAAAAAGATAAGCAAACACAAAGGAGGCCATGTTCCTTATCTCGAAAGACTGCGTAAGTATCACAAATGTAAGAGGACAATGCTGGCATAAAAGAACTCATCTGGAGATGGTGACACCCACTGTGAGCCCTGTGGGGTCAGCTTCCTATGGAGCTCTGGAGCTGAGATCCCAGGCATGATGGGAATATCCCAGTCCTGCAGACTGTGCCTCTGTCACTTGATGATTCTCACACAGTCCACTGGGACAGGACCTATGAATGCCCCCGTGTCTAGACGAGGTCCAGACCCTAAGACTGCACAGGACACAGGCCCAGGGATGCGCAGGCTCTGGTCCTTGGGTCTCAGCTAAAAGGCTGCATGGCACACCCAACTTACAGCATAGAGCTGCTGGACCAAAAGCTTTCTGCAGCTGAAGCAGGGGCCTTTAGGGGCACCCCTGCCCCCCCAGCCCAATGTGCCGACCACTTCAACCAACAGCCTAAGCCTGCTCCCCACCCTCCCTCACGGGATGTTCCCTGTACGGCTACCCGTGCCACCCTGATGGCAGGAAGGTTTTGGTGTCCAGATCTTCTCAGCTTCCTCATACAGTAAACCTTTTTCCATCTCTGCCACACTATGTACTTTTACTCTGTACTGAGGATTGAACCCAGGGCCTCATGCATGCTGGGCAAGAGCTCTACCACTGAGCTACAGCCTCAGTTTCTCTTTGAAAACATATTTTTTTCCCTCACTAGCTAGCCCAGGCTAGCTTTGAACTCACACTGTATCCCAGCCAGGCCTGAGCCTGCCTCAGCCTCCCAAGGGGCTGGGGTGATAGGCAGGTGCCGCCAGACCTAATTTCTATCCTTCTGCAATTGGTGCCCCACGTCTCCCTGTGGCAAACCCTCAGAGCCACAGCCAGACAAGGTCTGACATCTATAGCTCTACCATTTTGGACGTTAGTCCCACCTGTGAAACAGAAGTGTGGGGACCATCCCAAGGCCATGGTGAGGGAGTAGTGGGCCAGGATGCACTCCCTCAGCCCTCTGACCCCAGGCTGCCTCCACTGGAGCAGAAAAAGATGTCCAGGCCCAATAACATCAGCAAGACTCACAGAGGCTAGTTATAGCCAGCAACAGAGCAACTAGTTTTTCTGAGACCCTGGTTTTCTCCCCCCTCTACTAAAGGGTTCTGTTTCAGAAGCCTGGTAAGGCCAGGGCACATCCTGGGGGTGGTAGTGGGTTGTCCTGTGGTCACACTATGGACTGTCACCTGGAGGCTAAGTCCCTGGCTCCCCATTCTGCAGATTCCATTCTATGTGGTGTTTCCCTGAGTGACGATCCCAGAGGTCCACAAAGATGTGAGCATCAGAACACCCTCTGTACCGTGCTAAAGACTGGATGCCTTGCAAGAAGGGTCACGGTGCCACCGAATACCACAGAAGAGTGAATTGCCAGGTCTGTGCTCCACAGACTCCACGCTGTATTGTCAGCAGGAAAAGGCAAAGTGCAGAGGCTGCCACAATGGTGACCCCAGCCCAGGGCTCATGGGTATGAAGAATGTTTGGAAGGATACAGGAGACACGGTCCCCTGGGGTCCCATGTGCGACAGGCTTCCCTTATTCAGTGCAGCCCCTTCCACGACATTTGATGAAACCTTTAGATGCAGAGCCTGAGTTAGCGTGACAGCACATGGAAAGCTTTCATGCCCTATCAGTGTCCTGGAAGCTCTTCAGGTTGGTTACAGGGTCCTGTACCTGACGAGTCATGTCACGTGGCTGCACAGTTTGTCTGAGCACATTCCACGGGGCACAGGGATGAGTGTGTCTCGTGGGAGAATCATCCATCAAAATCCTTTCCAGGGGCAGGTTCCAAGGCACTGCCCGCAGAAGACACCTAAATCCTCTGACACGTAAATTCTGCATCTCCAACAGCCCACATCTGCACAGAACCTGCATAGTCCACGTCATGCAAGTGCTGTTGTAGGTGGCTATGGTAACCACACTTGCTGTTCAGTGGTCAACAGCAAGAAAATGCCTGCATCTGGTCAGTGTGGAATTTGATTTCAAACATTTTCAATCAGCATTTGGATGACTGTACATATACTTTCAAAAGGAAAAGAGACCCAAAACAAAGATCAAATCCCAGCCAGCAATATCCGCAATGGACTTTGAAGTTCATCCAAAGACAAGCTGGGTGGATGTATCAATGGCAGATAGACAGACATGCTAGAGCGATAAGTTGTACTTGTTTTGGTTTGTTTGTTTGTTTTGACATAGGGCCTCTCTATTATGTAGCTCTGGCTATCCTGGAATTTGTTATTACAGACGAGGCTGGCCTTGAACTCACAGAGATCCACCTGCCTTTGCCTTTGTGAGTGCTAGGATTGAAGGCATGTGCCACCAAGCCTGGCCTCAGCGATTGTACTTTTACCACAGGATTTTGGTGGCATTCCCTGGAAATTGTTTTCAATTTTCTTTTTTATTAATAAAATCACCTTATTCTAACCATACAAAAGTTCTTTGAGCTGCACAGGGTCCAGACCTGGGCAAGTGTTTGTGTGTGTTTCTTAAATCAGCTGTGTGATGCTTTTATTTGTGAGCTAATTTTCTGTATGTTTAGGATTACACCTAACAAAATCTTTGGTAACAATGGAATCCAAAGTTGTATATTTCTTTGGTTCCGTGACTATAAAAAACAGTAAGCATCTACACAAGCTCCCAGGGTGCAGCTGTGTGAGAATGAAATGATTTTGTTACGGCGTGGTAAGAATCCCTGAAATCAGGCTTAACACAGTCATGCCATCTTATCGTGGAATGCAGCTAAAGGCAGACACCACAGCAGTGAGCTGATACTGGACTTACATGGTCACCCCCAACGCAAACAGCTTCTCATACTCTGTCCTGGAGGAGTAGTTGGGAATGACCTAGAAAAGAGGAAGGAACTGAGTGTGAGCGGGGCCGTGTTGTCTGGACCCCCTCCTCACCCACAGCATCCCCTTTCCAAGCCCAGTCCTGGATAGGCCGCCTCAGACTCACCATCCCGTTGGTTATGACCAGTCGTGGGGCACCAGGGCTGCTGGGGAAGAGGCCCAGTGGGTGTCCACTGTACATGACCAGAGTCTGTTCCTCAGTCATCTTCGACAAGTAGGACATGGTCAGCCAGAACTGGACGGACAACGCACATGCAGCACTCTGTAAGTGCCAACTGGCACCCACATGGACCTTGTACCCTATACCCAGACCCAGGGATCCCTGCAGGTCTCAATTGGTCCATCCTAGTGGCCTTGCTTGCTTAGATCCTCTTTAATCTCCAGGGTCTCCTGGTACATCCCACAATGCCACTCTACCCCTTCTTATAAGTGAAGCATCTCCAGGTGATTGCCAGCGCTGAAGCACCAGGCATCAGGCAGAGCCATGGACCACCGAGTGCCTTCCAGGCCACCATACCTGAGCCCAGTTGCTGAACACCTGCCCATTTCCTCCGTAGGTCACCAGCTCCTGTGGAAACTGGAGAAGATGTGGCATCATCTGAGATGGGGCTGTGGACGGAGAGAAGCAGGGCCCCTACCTGCAGCTAGACTCAAAGAAGCAATGACATAGGGACAAAGCAAGAAGCCTGAAGGGACACTCAGCAGCCACCAGCCATGCTGGCTACGGAGCATGGCTGCCCAAGTGAAATACATCTTCCAAGACAAGATTCCGGGTAAGAGGAGGAACATAAGGGATCTCACTAATAATGTTAAGATACACTATGGTAACTATTATTTAATCCGTTTATTTTCATGTGGCCATTAGAAAGCTGAAATTATGGGTGCACTTATATAAATACATTGCTATTTTATATTTGCTTCCTGCTTTTGCTTTTGCCCTATAGTTACAGAGAAAGGTCCAGGGGCTATCTTACGCCAGCTTTGTGAGTGCGTTGAAGGCTTACTAGCACTACTCAGGATCTCAGGTCATGTTTTGCTGGACTATGCTGGCCTCGGCTTCCCTGCCATTACCTGGGCCACAGCGGGGTCCAGATTGTTCATAATCATGTGCATGATGGCTGCTGCTGCCCGTGTCCGGCATGGGTACTGATCAATTGGGTAGGCCCTGCAAGGGGAAGTCCGGCATCAGGGGACAAGGGAACCCTCAGGTCTCCCACCCCATGACGATGCTGCCCTGGCCAAGCTGACCAGGCACCTGAGGGCTGTCCTTAGAAACACAGAGGGAAATGGAGCCCCAGAGCCATCATGAGTCCCCACATGCCCACAGCGGGAAGTCCAGTCCACTCCAGTCACTGTCCCTCTCTACTTCACGCCTGGGAGGACTCTGACCCCAGAGAATGGCTGCTTTCCAGAGCCTTCTGCCCTTGGGCGCTTAGTCATTTGTTCTTTCATTCACTCATCAAATGCTCCTGGGCAGCAATTCCATGGAGGGGGCAGGAGGGCAGGGGGGCAGGGGGTGCGGCGGCGGCAAGAGGGCAGTGGCTCCTGTCTCAGGGGGACACAAGACTTCCTGGGCCATTTAGAACAAGTCTGGGTTTCTGGCAAGTTCAGAACAGTGGTTCTCTCTGACACAAGCTGCAGCACCCAAAATGCAGATTCCTAGCTTTGCCTCGGGGGTGCTGAGCCTTACGTCCAGTGAGGCCCAGCACTCTGCACTGTCAGCAAGCTTCCCGTGATGCCGTGCGGGCCACAGTGTAAGAACTTCAATGGAGAACGTGACAGATTTGAAGTCACCAACAGCCACACCACACCCCACCTCACTCTCACCTGCTCTTCTCTACAGAGCAAGATACGGTGTCCCAGAGAGACTTTGTGCTCCAGAGTCAACAGGACTGAATGCAGGTTAGGGGCGCAGGCCAGAGACCTATCTGATAAGGACTCCATCCTCTGGCCAGGCAAGTCAGCTCCAGATCCCCCCAAAGACACTTCACTCCCTACTTTCTCACTATGCTACCTCCATAGGTACCTCCCCAGCTCAGACAGACTGACCTCCTCTTCAGCCATGGATTCCCTGAGGCTCCTCCTGACTTCTGTACAGCCTTATCTGAAGCAAAACCCACGAGGGCTCACCTCATCTCAATGCTGGGGCAGAACCGGTACATGTAGATGTGTCCAAACTGTCGTAGCTCCTGGGCAAACTCCTGGGCCAACAGCTTCTGGACAGTGGGTGGGAAGTAGCGCAGAGCATTCTTCAGAGCCAGCTGGGGAGGAGGGGGGTGAGAGGTGGCTGGGTTAAGGGCCCTGAGGCCCTCTGTGTTGTCCATTTTCCCTCCCCACCTGGATTGCCTCTGCTCCACTCAGAAACTGGTTGAGTCACTCTGAGAACACCTGCTCTGTCTTCTGGGAAGCCTTCCCTGGTGGCTGCTGGCCCCTTATATGAAGGCAGACACCAAGCTCTCTCTTCTTGGTCCCATCTGCCCCTGGGCCTGCAGTCTCAGAGGAGGAAAGCAGAAGCCGCTGTGAGACCAGGGAGGTACCTAGCTTGGTAAATGGTACAGAGGCTGCGTCCTGGGACAGGCAGACTTGGGCAGTGTGGATAGCTGATATGGTTGCCACTCTCATGACCCCACCATGTCCACATTCGCATCCACCAACTTGCACATCGCCTTACAAGGTGAAAGGCACTTTTCACAAATAACTTGGTGAAGGATCTTGAGACGGTTCTAGAGTATCCAAGTGAAAAGTCCCGTAATCATGAAGGTCCTTGTCAGAGGGCAAGGGACAGCTAGTATCAGAGGAGATGTGAGGACCAAGCTGAGTGTCGGTGTGGCGTGGTGTAGATTTGAGAAGGTAGTGTTGTTAGAGGTATAGCGGTATGCACAGAGGATTTTCCCAGCAGCACCTGTGTACCCTGCTTCCTCCTTTACTGTCTTTGTAAAGTGGGAGTGGCCTCAGAGCCCACCTCCTAGGTACTAATGAACTGGCATGGTTAGTATGGTGCTGGGCTCACCCATGGGCCCTGTGAGTGCTAGATCCCAGAACTGTCACCTGCCATGTTCACGGACCTCTGCCCTGCCCCATGCTGCCTGGGGTCCCTACAGAAATGCTCATACAATTCCGGCATGGGAGGGCTTGTGTTAATGACCAAGCCATGCCCCTATTCAAAAACCTTCACGGGTCCCCACTGCCTGTCTGGCGACACCCACAGTGGCCTTGGCATTCTGGGTCTTCTCAGTCACACTGCATCTGACTCTCCTAGCTCTATTTGCATGGAGTCTCCTTCATTTCCCACATTTTGGAAGGTTCATCTCCGCCTTCCCATGCACTGTTTCTCATATCTCCAAATGGGCCTCCTTTCCCTTCTAGAAACCATGTCCAAGTGCCACAGTCACCTCTGCCAAAAAGTCCTCCTAGGTCCCTTGTAGGATATGGGGTTGGCTTCTTAACAAATGTTCTTGTTCTTAACAAATGGATTCAATGCGCACATGCTGGTGTTTCTGGAACCTAGAGATCGTCCAAGGGAGTCCCGCACTCAAGCTCAGATGGCATGTTGGCAAAGACAGACCCACCATGGCAGACCCACCATGGGAAAGGGCCCTCAGGATAGTGTGCTAATAGAGACAGGCATTCAGGTCCACCATAGTGAAGGGCTCAGCTGTGGCATTTAATGCCCAGCACAGTGCAGTGGATGAGGCCGGATCTTGGGGAGAAGGTCACTGAGAGAAACTGCACACAAGGTAAACGAGATGGTGCTTCTACCAGAACTGCTCGTGTTGAGACACACCGTGAAGGCTGAACAAGCCTGTGCTGAGTGCACACTGACTAAGTGTAACAGGCAGCACTCCTTACTTAAATAGAGAAGTGCCAAGGAAAAGCAGGACGAAGCCCCCAGTCCATCCAAATGATGAAAGAACGGAATAGTATGTAGTAGTAGAAACAAGGGGGAACTCAAAATATGCACACCTGAACACACATGGGCACACACAGGAACATACACACTCACACGTGCAAGCACACACAGAGATGGGCAGACACACACACACACACACACACGTCACACAGACACGCACAGACACAGAGACATGCAGACACACACACAAGACACATACACACAGACAGACAGACAGACACACACAGTCACACAGTCACACACACACAGACATACACACAGCCACACAGACAGACATACACAGA